AAGCCAAGCCACTCAGCACAGTCCGTGCTGGCCATCAGTGCTGTCCGCCTGGGCAGAGGGCAGCAGGTCCAGCCGGAGGCGTGGCCAGGAGTGCGTGTCTGACGGAGGAGGTATGCGAGCCCACCTGTGCCAGCCACGGCTCTCCCTTTCAGCAGCAGCTTGAGGCAATCTGGCTGGTTAGCAAGGGCCGCATAGTGCAGAGCGGTGTTCCCGTCGGCAGCCTTGGCATCCAGGTGACCGCTGTGGGGAGAGGGTTCAGGGAGAAGGAAAGGGGGACAGACGGGGCAGGGGGTCCAAGTCGAGGGGAAAAGAGGGGAGAGAAACGGAGGGGGAGAGTGGGGGAGCGGAGGCAAGGCGGGAACCGCGAGGGGGGCGCACGGCCACGCCAGCGCTCTCACCCGTTCTGGATGATGAACTCCACCAGGGGCAGCGAGGCTGGGCTGGCCACTTGGACGGCCAAGTGCAGGGCGAGCTCTCCGGGTGCCTGGATCCAATCCGCACCTCTGAGTTCCCCCGTCCACCTGCTCTCCCCCAGTACTGCCCTCCTCCTTTTTGTACTGAAGTCAGTAATTTATTTTGAATCCGTGTATCTTTGTAATCGTCCTTTTTTTTTTTTAAAAAAGCTTATTGTTTAAATTTATTTAAAAAATTTAAAAAGCAGCAAGAAAGAGAGGGAGGGAGAAACCGAGAAAGAAGCCGTCCATGGGTTCACCCCTCAAATGCCTGAAGCAGCCAGGACAGGGCCAGGCCGAAGCCGGAGGCCAGGAACTCAGTCCAGGTCTCCCACGTGGGTGGCAGGGGCCCAAGTACCTGAGCCACCACCTGCCGCCTCCCAGGGTGCGCACCAGCAGGGAGCTGGATCAGGAGCAGAGGCGGGACTTGATCCCAGGCACCCCCACAGGGGATGCAGGTGCCCTAAATGAGAGCTCAGCCTGCCGTGACACGATATTACCCTCCCAGACCCTGGGAGATGAGGCTGCTCGGACGGAACTCAGGTGTGGGAGGAAGACAAAGGGCCAGTCTCCCAGGGCTTCCTTCAAGACTTCCTCCTCCGCTGGGGCCGTTGCTGTGGCGCAGCGGGTTAACGCCCTGGCCTGAAGTGCCAGCATCCCATATGGGTGCTGGTTCGAGACCAGGCTGCTCTTTCTCTCTCTCTCTAACTCCATCGTTCAAATAAATAAAATAAATCTTAAAAAAAAAAAAAAAGACTTCCTTCTCCGCCTCCAAACCTCCCAAACTTGGTTCTTGGTCCTGAGCTCCTCCCTCTACTTCTACTACCCTGCCTGCAAACCTGTTGCTCACAAGGAGGCTGTTCCAAATTCTTAACCTTGCCTGAGTGCTGCACTCCCGCCGTCCAGTGGACAGCCCCCAAGATGTCAGACAGATGGCTCGGAGACAGCCAGTCTTGGATGTCCAACCAGCCAGCGACTCCTGTCCATTTACTCTTTCAAATGCCACCAGTGTCCACTCTCCCCGCTCACGGGTCTGCCGGCTGGGTTAGCCAACGCGGGGCCTCCCTGCTTACCCACTGCCAGGACTGTCCAGGTAACAAGACACGAGTATTTCTTGCACACTGACTATGCACACCTATGCATATATGACTCCATTCTCACACTATTGGGGGTGCTGTTGTTAATCCAATTGGCACAGGGGGAACTGGGGCTCAGAGAAGTTATGTAACCTGCCTGGGATCACACAGCCAGGAGGACAGGGCCAGGACTCCTGCCCTGCTCTGCTAGACCTGAGCAGAACGCTCTCATTTAGCCCTCTAATGGGCGAGGCCTGCGGTGTGGGAGGTGGGACGGAGGGGAGTAGGAGCCGTTCCTGCAGGAGGACCGGGCAGTGCGTCCACCCAGGGGCTCTCACCTGCCCATCCGGCCCTGGCAGCGGCTGTCCGAAATCCTGCCGGTTGGCAAAGGCCTCCAGGACCGACAGGAGGTCCCTGTTGCAAATGGCCGTCCGGAGTCTCTGAGGCTCTGGGGTGCAGCGGCGGGCAAACTTGTGTTCCACATACTTGGCCACGATGTAGTCCCTGCGGGTGCTCCTGCCACGGACACCACGGGGTCTCAGACACACGGGGCTGGTTCCGTGCTAAGTCCTGGACAGCCCACGCAGGAGCGCTTCTCCGCCCCTCCCAGCCATGTCCGGGAGACTCCCTAGACTTTAACCCAAGGGTCTCCGGGGACTCCCTTACATGTCACTCTCGGCTGTGGGCTTAGGGCTGCGGTGTGAGGGCAGCTGGGCCTCCATGACCTCATTGAAGCGCATGTTTCCGATGTTCAAGGCCAGCTGGGGTCGCAGGGGAGTGAAGGGGCGGTGTCAGACTGAGCGGTTAGGACAGCACCCTCCTGGGGTGGGGCTGAACCTCCTGAAGTCCCGCCCCTCGGCCCAGGCCTCGCCCTTGCCCACCCTGGTTCTGGCTCCTGCGGGATTCAGACCACCATGGCCCCGCCCACCTTTGACCCCATGGGCGGAGCCCACTGGCCCCGCCCCACGCCGAGCCGCACCGGCAGCCGGCCCCGCCCCGCCCTCACCAGCAACTCGGATGGGCCCAGCAGGTCCAAGGTGAGGGACTGCATGCGGGAGAAGCGCACGCCCAGCTCGCGGTGGACGCCGGAGCACTGGATGCAGGTGAGCACGCCCAGGTTGGTGCTGAGCCACGTGGGGTCTGCGGAGGAGCGCAGCTGAGCCTGCGGCGCGGGCCCTGCCCTCCCGCCCGGCGCCCCCCCACGCGGCCCGGCGTCCTGACCTGCGGCCCCGCAGTCGCAGCAGTGGCCATTGCCGGGCCGGCTCTTCACCTCGGCGATGAGCAGCTTCGTGAGCTCCTGGGGCTCCGCGTCCAGCCCGGCGCCCGCCCAGGGCCCGGGGCCGCTGCTGGGCTCCCCGAGGAAGGCGCTGCTCAGGGCTTCGTCCTTGCTGTTCTGCAGCACTGACACCCACCTGCGAGATCGGCGGGCGGGGCAGGCGATGGGAGGCTGCGCGGGGGAGGCCGCCCTGCCCACCCGGGGTCGGCGCGCAGGGGCACTCACGCCTCACACTCCTGCTCGTCCTCGGCGTGGAAGTGGTACGTCCGGCTGTCTGTAGGGGAGAGGGGTGCCTGGCTCAGGGCCGGGGCGCCCACCCAAGCCGCTGACTCCAAGTGGGGCTTTTGATCCTTAGGGGTGGAGCTCTCCCAAGCCAGGAGTGCCAGGGGGGTAACTGGGTTCCCCTGAGGCACAGCACCACCCCCAGATCAGAAGCAGGGTCTCCCAAACCCACCGCCGCAGCCACGCTGGCCCCCAGCCTGCCGCCTGTGCCAGCTCCCAGCACGTTCTGCCTGAGGTTCTGCTCTGATCCCACCACTCCTTGCTCCAAGACCCCCTGTGGCTCCCTATTGCCAGGAAATAAAGCCCAAACCTTACAGAGGCATTCGCAGGCACCAAGTCCCGCTGCTCCTACGCAAACTGGCTGGAGCCACTCTCTCGCTTCCATGTCTCTCGTGGTGCCAGTTCTGTCTCCTGAGACCACCCCCCAAGTCTACTCGCTCGTGTTCTTCAAGGCCCAGGTCCGACCTGCCTCCCACAAGCAGCCTTCCCCGACCCCGCAGCATGGCAGGCCTCCCCTCTCTCCAGTCTCCCGCAGGACCCTATCTGCACCTCTCTCTCTTAAATATCTAGTTTATTTATTTGAAAGACAGAGTTGCAGAGAAAGGGAGGGAGGGAGAGAGAGAGAGGGAAACCTTCTGCTGGGTCACTCCCCAAATGGCCTCAACAGCCAGGGCTGGACCAGACCAAAGCCAGGAGCCAGGAGCTTCTTCCGGGTCTCCCATGTAGGTGCAGGGGCCCAAGCACTTGGGCCATCTTCTGCTGCTTTCCCAGGTGCATTAGCAGGAAGCTGGATCGGAAGTGGAGCAGCCGGGACCTGAGCCAGCGCCCATACGGGATGCTGGCGTCATAGGTGGCGACTTAACCCGCTACGTCACAGCGCCAGCCCCTGCACCTCTCTTTTGGACACATACCCACCCCCCTACAGTCCTGGGTCCCCACCTTACACCTCTGCTGGAGAGCCCTCGGGATCTAGCTTTCTCAGGCGGGCCCCCCTCACACGAGGCCTGGCACCAAAGACTCCAAGGATGAAAAGTGAACAATGGAAGGAAAATTTCTAAAGCCAGGTGACCCAAATCTCCGCAAACACGCTTTACAGGAATAACCAAATCTCACGTGGGAAGTGGGTGCACTTTCCTGTTTAATGGGATGGGAGTGGGGTGAAGCCCTGGGCAGCGAGCTATGTGGGAGGGGACGGGGACCACTCACGGGTCACCAGGTCGAAACACTTTTTGTCCTCCGGGTTTGGTCTCACTTGGCACGTCAGCAGGGTCAGCTTCACTGGGGGCCGGTTTATCTGTGGGAATTTGGGGGACACAGGACGAACACATTACCCTCCAGGTCTTCCAAACTCTTTAGGCCTCTGTCTCTCAAGCTGTAGAGAGGGTGTAATACGCCTGCTCCTGCTGTCTCCCCTATCCCAGCACCTCAAACATGAGGAGCATAGGTTAGGACTTAGGGCGGGGGCTGCGGGTCCCATCCTTCCCTCCACAAGGGGTCTGCGCCTCCCCGGGGCCAGGTCTGGGGGCCACCGTAGAAGGAGGCCCGGACACTGGTTGCTCAGACCACCAAGGGGAGGAGCCCCAGCCCCCCCAGGCCTCACCGTGCTGTGCGAGATGGTCAGGCAGCCGTACTTGACCCCACACTTCCTCTTCTGCCAGACTCTCCGGATTCTAGGCCCCAGGGGGATAGAAAGACGGGATCCGAGGCTTACCCCTGACCGCCCTGCCCTCCCCCCACGACGACCTCTAGCCCCACCTTTTCACCCCCACCCCCAACCCCTCGCTCCCTGGGGACCCCTTCTGATGGAGGAGACGGCATCCTGTGCTCTGGGAGCTCCCAGTCTGATGGCCAACAGCCCCACCCTGTGCGAATCCTTATGCTAAAGAGGACACTGTGGTTTTGACCTCCGCAGGCGTCCAGTCTAACGGAGGAGACACGACTTCTAGTCTGAAAGGAGGATGGCCTTTCCCACAACAGGTGAACTGTGGTTAAAGACAAGGCAGGATCACTGCTGAGACCCCAAAAATAAAATCGGCAAGTCCACGACCCAAAGCTACTTAGCGCTTCTCCTGTTAGAGGTAAATATTCATTGGTTTCTTCTTCCATGTTATTCTTCTCGGATAGAAACATGAACACATCGCAAAAGAGCCTTTGTGTTTCAGACTTTTTGTCTTTTTTTCAATTTATTTATTATTTGAGAGGCAGAGTTACAGAGAGAGCAAGAGACAGAGACAGAGGTATTCCATCTACCGGTTTACTCCCCAGATGGCCGCAACACCCAGAGCTGGGCCGATCTGAAGCCAGGAGCCAGGAGCTTCTTCTGAGTCTCCCTCATGGGTGCAGGGGCCCAAACACTTAGGCCATCTTCCACTGCTTTCCTAGGCACATTAGCAGGGAGCTAGATCAGAAGTGGAGCAGCCTGTGCTCGAACTGGCACCCATATGGGATGACAGCACTGTAGACAGCGACTCAACCCATTACATCACAGTGCCAGCCCCAACACTAATTTCTAGACCTATTTAGTTTATGGTAGAGGTTAAGAGTGAGGGCACAGGGGCCGGCACTGTGTCACAGCAGGCTAAGCTGCCATCTGCAATGCCAGCATCCCATATGGGTGCCAGTTCGAGTCCTAGTTACTTCATTTCCGACCCAGCTCTCTGCTATGGCCTGGGAAAGTAGTAGGAGATGGCCCAAGTCCTTGGGCCCCTGCACCCATGTGGGAGACCCAGAAGAAGCTCCTGGCTCCTGGCTATGGCCTGGCCCAGCCTCAGCTGTTACGGCTAGTTGGGGAGAGAACCAGCAGATGGAAGACCTTTCTCTCTGTGTCTCCTCTCTCTCTCTCTGTAACTCTGACTTTAAAATAAATAAATAAGTCTTTTTTAAAAAAAGATTAGTACAAATTGTTTTAAAGAGTGAGGGTATAGTCAGGTTCCGTAAACGTTGCTGCTGCTATTTTTCAGGACAAGAACAACTGGTGACCCTAGCAGACGGTCCCATGCCCAGGTGTCCTGGACAGAACTCAGGCTTTCATGACTTTGCGCTGTTGGAGTGGATGGTTCTGGAGCCCCCAGGGTCTGCATGAACTATAAAAATATGCACTCGTGGGCAGTGACCTCAAACCTGGCACTCCCAGCTGTGCGACTCTGGGTAAGTTACTTAAACTCTCTGCGCCACTTACCCATCACTTTTCTTGTACAGAAAGCCCACCTTCTCCGTCCCAAACTGCTTGTTGCCTTGGTGCTGGTGGATGCTGTAGCCGCCGCCTGAGTTCTTCCGGCTCAGGTGCTCCTGTCCTCAGACACAGAGGAGCGCTCAGGGCGTCTGAGTGGGAGGAGCCCTGGGGGCTCTTCCTCCTCTCCCCACGCCCCACACTGGGCCCTGAGGGGAGGGCATTGCTTTTAGGATGGCTCAGGGGCTGACCTCTCTGCTGTCAAGCTGAAGCGACCCTCGGAGGGAGTCCCGGAGCTGGGTCAGCTTCTGTAGCTCCTCCTCCTGGGCTTGATGCAGCTGTGGGACAGAGGTCAGGACCCGTGAGCAGCCAGCAGGTGTGCCGGCCACAGAGCCCAGACCCACGGTCGCAGGGCAGCAGTGCACTCTGTAGGCAGGAGCCAGCACCTCCCCGCCCAAAGGTTTCCCCGGGACAGGGCCACCTGGCCGAGGGCGAGGCCCGACTCACCGTGTGCACTGAGGCCGCCAGCTTCTCGATGAAGGGGGACAGGCTCTGGGCGGCCTTCCAGCCGTCTTGGAAGAAGCTGAGAGGACCAGGGGGCAGAAAAGGGCCCAGAGAGATGAAAATGAGAGATACACCAGAGTGCAGGAAGGCACTCTCAGGATCACAGGGCGCCTGGGATGGCGTAGACTGATGGTCAGGAGTAGGCACTCCAGAGTCCAGTCTCTGGGTTGGGGCTGAGGCCGGCGCTGTGGCTCAGCGGGTAAAGCCCACCACCTGCGAGGCCGGCATCCCATATGAGCGCCATTTCAAATCCCAGTTGCTCCACTTCTGAACCAGCTCCCTGCTGATGCACCAACTTCTTGGGTCCCTGCCAGCCATGTAGGAGACCCGGATGGAGTGTCAAGCTCTCAGCTATGGCCTGGTCTCTGGTTTGGGGCAGGTGTTTAGCCCACAGTTAAGATATCCATGTCCCACATCGGACTGTGTGAGTTCAATTCCCAGCTCCAGCCTTCCTGTTAATGCAGACCCATGTGGGAGACCTCGAGTGGGCTCCTGGCTCCTGGCCTTGCAGACATCTGGGGAGTAAACCAGCGCATGGGAGCTCTGGATGGCAGCATACTTTCTCTTTCAAAAAATAAATGATATTCAGTTCTTGGGATCGGATTCCTCTTACTAGCTATGTGATTTTGGTAAATGAGCCTGTTTCTCATCTCTACAGTGGGAACACCAGTATCTACTCCCAGAAGAGTCGGGAGTCTGAGTGAGATCATGTTTGTAAAGAATTCGGTGAGCACTCAACAGAGGAGCTGGGGCAGACGTTGGGGTAGAGCAGTTACGCCACCCCTGGAATCCCACGTCGGAATGGAATGCCTAGGACTGAACAAAGCCTCTGCTTCCGAGCTGGCGTCGTGCTAATGTGGCCCCTGGGAGGCAGCAGATGTTGGCTCAGGTACGTAGGTCCCTGCCACTCATGTGGGAGTCTGGATGGAGTTCCTGGCCCTGGCTCTGGCCTGGCCCATTTGGGGAATGAACCAGCGGATGGAAGATGGAACAATGTCTCTCCCCTCCCCCTCTCAATCTGTGCCACTTTGCCTTTCAGATAAAAGAAAAATAAACTAAAATAACATTTAAAAATAAACTTAAGAGGGACTGGCACTGTGGCCTAGTGGGTTAAGCTGCTGCCTGCAGTGCCAGCATCCCGTATGAGTGCCAGTTCAATTCCCAGCTGCTCCACTTTTGATCCAGCTCTCTGCCATGGCCTGGGAAAGCTTGGGCCCCTGCACCCATGTGGGATACCCGGAAGAAGCTTCTGGCTCCTGGCTTTGCATCAGCTCTGGCCATTGAGTCCATTTGGGGAGTGAAACAGCAGAAGGAAGAACTCTCTCTCAACTCTCCTTCTTCCTCTCTCTCTCTCTCTCTCTCTCTCTCTCTCTCTCTCTAACTCTGCTTTCAAATAAATAAATAAATCTTAAAAAAAAAAAAAAAAAAAAAACAACCTAGAGAGGAGCTATGAAAGCACTGCCAACGAGGTCCAGGCAGCCAGAGACTTGGACGTGCAGAGAGTCCGCCAGTCCCTGGAGAGGGCGTGGAGGGTTCGGGCTGGGGGCACAAGAGATACCTACTTGTGCTGGGCGTGGAAGAACTTGATGAGGCTCTGGAGGAAGTCAGGACCTTGCTTCATCTGGCTCTCCCCAGCTTTGAGCAGGTACTGGGAGGAGGATGGGGCAGAACGTGTGCTGTGAGCCAAAGCCGGGTCCTGGGCACACGGGCTGTGGCCCCCATCCCAAGCTAATCCTCCTGGCTGGGAGACAGCCCTGGCGACATCCCGCAGGTCCAGGCAGCCGGGACCTGGGCTGCCTGTGACTGGGTCCCTGGGGCTCACAGACAGGAAGACTTATCCCATCCCCAGCCGCACCCCAGCACTCCGTACCTCACACATGTGCAGCTGAAAGATGCGTCGCTCTCTCTGCGTGTCTTGGGCCACCTCCCCCGGGCTCCCTCCAGTCATCCTGGTCCGGTCCCGCTCCTTCTCCAGCCTGGTCCTAGACCCCGAGGAAAGAGAGGCGTGGACCCGTCTCCCAGCCCCTGTATCCCCTGTCTTCGAGACACCTGAGTGAGGGGCCCACCCAATGCAGGAAGCCCTCTTGTGTTTTAGCTGGGAGGCGGGGCTGGGCACGACAGCAAACAAGGCAGATGAGTTGGGGGAAAGACAGGGAGCAAATCAGAGCTGTGCAGAGAGTTAGGGGAGAGGAGAACGGAGGGCCTGAACCCATTGAGCTGCTTATGAAGGGCTGGCTACTCTGGGTTCCGCTGCCTGAGAGGTTAACTGGGCAGGGGAAGGGACCTTGTGACAGCCCTGAGGCAGAAGGTCTCAGGGATCGGTGCAGAGATGGAGGGAAGGCGCCCAGACCATGCAGGCCCTGACTCAGGCCATGCTAAGCTTCTTGGTCTTATTTTACTTTTTTCTAATAAATGCCTTTATTTATTTAAAAATATTTTGGATTGTTTATTTATTCGAGAGACAGAGAGAGCTTCTTCTACTGGTTCACTCCCCAGATGCCTGCAACAGTCAGTGCTGGGCCCAGCCAATGCTGGGAGCCAGGAACTCAATCCAGGTCTCCCACATGAGCAGCAGGAATCCAAGTGCTTGAACTGCTGCCTCCCAGGGTCTGCATTAACAGGAAGCTGGAGCCGGGAGCCAGAGCTGGGAACTGAACCCACAACACTCCCCCAACCCCCCCCCCCCCGGCCGCCGCACATCTCCAGGGTTGGCAGCTTTCCCTTTGGGGATGGGGGGATCTGTGTGTAAATGGCTTTCCTGGAAAACCCCACGCCCATCAGACCACCACTCGCAGCCAGGAGAGAAGCTGCACTTCTTAGGCTGGGCCCATGTGACCTTGAACCCCAAGCAGAGAGGCTGTCTTGCCTAAGGGTGCTCCTCCCAAGGGGGTACTAGCCCTGGGCAAAGAAGACAAAGCCAGAGCGGGGCTCATGGCGGCCCCACTTTAGCCTCCCCGTCTGGAAAATGGGGATCCTCATCTGTATGCACACAGGATGGGGCAGGCAAGAGGCTTAGCACACTGAAGACGCGGCAGCTAGCAGCATCCTCCCGCGGAGCCTCGGTTTTCCCACCTGTAAACCGAGGAAGCACAGCCCCCAGTGAGTTCTCGGGTCCCTTCTGGTACTCTGGGCCCTGCTGAGCTAAGACCGCTGGGAGACTGTGCTGATGCACAGAACCCGCCCCTGAGAACAGCAGAGCGGATTTCAACCGTGGGTACACTCTCCAACTGGTCGCAACAGCCAGAGCTGCGCCGATTTGAAGCCAGGAGCTTCTTCCCAGTCTCCCACGTGGGTGCAGGGGCCCAAGGACTTGGGCCATCTTCCACTGCTTTCCCAGGCCACAGCAGAGAGCTGGATTGGAAGTGGAGCAGCCAGGACTTGAACCAGTGCTCATATGGGATGCCGGTGCCACAGGTGGCAGCTTTACCTGCTATGCCACAGCGCCGACCCCTATTATTATTATTTTTTAAATATTTACTTGTGAGGCTGGCACTGTGGCATAGTAGGCTAAGCCTCTACCTGCAGAGCTGGCATCCCATGTGGGTGCTGGTTCATGTCCCGGCTGCTCCTCTTCTGATCCAGCTCTCTGCTATGGCCTTTGAAAGCAGTGGAAGATGACCCAAATGCTTGGGCCCCTGCACCCACGTGGGTGACCTGGAAGAAGCTCCTGGCTTCAGATCAGCCCAGCTCTGGCCACTGTGGCTATTTGGGGAGTGAACCAGTGGGTGGAAGACCTTTCTGTCTCTCCCTCTGTCTGTAACTCTGCCTTTTAAATAAATAAGTAAAATCTTTAAAAAAATTACTTGCTATTTATTGGAAAGGCAGAATAACAGAGAGAAAGGGAGGGAGACTTCTCCCATCTGCTGGTTCACTCCTCAAACAGCTGCAACAGCTGGGGGCCAGGCCAGGCTGAAGTCAGGAGTCTGGGTCTCCCACATGGGTGGCAGGGACCCAAGCACTTGGGTCATTGCTGCCTCCCAGGCTCATTAGCAGGGAGCTGGGCTGGAAGCAGAGCAGTCAGGCATTGAACCAGCGCTCTGACACGGGACATCCCAGTAGTGGCCTAGCCCACCGCACAGCAGTGCCCACCCCTAGATAATCCTTTGTTGTGGGAGCTGCCCTGATAGTCACAGGATGCTTCCAGCACCCTGACCTCCACCCACCAGCTACAGGGGCCACCCCTGTTGTGCAAACCAGCAACGTCTCCTGAGACGGAGGGTGCAGTGCCGCTCCTGCGTGGGAACCACCGCTCCCTTCATTTCCCCAGAAATAGTTCCTTTGTATTTCTGATAGAGCTGGAGTGGGGACCGATCCTGTGACAGGGCTGGGGAGTGAGGGCAGGTGCCTTCTGGTGGGATGTGAAGAGCGGCCGAGAGGGGAGACACTGGCTGGGCCTGTGGTGTGGCAGCCACATGCCTGGCAGCTCACCAGACAGGGCTGGAGACCGAGAGGACAGACCAGATAAGAGGTGGCGGGGACGTGGGTCAGTAGGAAGCGGTGAGATACATCACGGTACGTCCACATAAGGAATACTACGCAGCTGTGAAGAAGGGGAAGGTGATCTGCATTCCTGACCCGGATGCTGTCTGCATCAGACCCAAAGCAAGCCACAGCATCGCGCAGGGGTGAGAAACCCGGATGCCTGCTCTGAATGGCAGCTCTTCCACTTACTTCACCTTCATATCTTTTTTCTTTTCTTTCTCTCTCTCTCTTTTATTTATTTGACAGAGTTAGACAGTGAGAGAGAGACAGAGAGAAAGGTCTTCCATTGGTTCATCTCCCAAATGGCCACTACGGCTGGAGCTACGCTGATCCGAAGCCAGGAGCCAGGTGCTTCCTCCTGGTCTCCCATGCGGGTGCAGGGGCCCAAGACCTCCACTGTGTTCCCGGGCCACAGCAGAGAGCTGGATCGGAAGAGGAGCAACCGGGACTAGAACCCGGAGCCCATATGGGATGCCAGCGCTGCAGGCAGAGGATTAACCAAGTGAGCCACAGCGCCAGCCCCTATATCTTTTTCTAAGCTTATTTCTCCATTTTGAAAATAAGAATAAGAATGCTCCCTAGCCCTTGGACGACGGAGCACACGGGAAACACGGACTAAATCCCTGACACATGGAAGTCCTTAACAAACAGCAGGATCACGACGGCGCTGATGATTGCAGGACAAATGGGGATTCCTTTGAAATGTTTTAAAAAGTGTAGGCTACTCCCTTATCATTTTTTTTAATGCTACCGGAGACTAAAAGGCGAAGATTCTTGGCTCGGGGTGAAGATGTGCTGTCATGTGCCGTGCCTGGTTTTTTCTGATGAATTCCTTTCTCTGCCTGGGTCCCGTTATCTGAGACTTGTGTTGTGTCTTGTGAGAGACATCAGCATCAGAGCCCACTTCACAGAGGACGATGCCAAGGCCTGGAGGCGGGAGACGACTTGCTCAGATCACCAGCTGCCGGGGGGTCGCTCGGAGCCCATGTCTGGTCCCCTCCTGTGTTCACCTGGTCCTGGTTCTGGCTCCGAGAAGCGGTTGGGCAACACTCGTTGATGCCAGGCGCTTTGTGTGCTTCGTGTGCCCTGTGCTCATTTCATCCCCACATCAGCCCTTGCTCTCTTTCTCTTTCTCTCCCCCTCTCAAATAAATCTTTGGGGAAAAAAAAAAAACACGCAGAGGGACCCACAGCGACTTGTGGCTTGCTAGTTTCTGGCTGTACCTGGAGCCTGCAAGCAAAGGAATACCCAGTCACCTGCGCCAGGAGACGTGGCTCCGTGGCAGGAGCCAGACCACGTGGCAGACAGAGCCTGGACCCGGCAGGCTTGAGTTCTATCCCAGGCCTTGTCGGTAACTCACTCACCTCGGCCAAAACCCTTTTCCCCATCAATTAAATGGAGAGTTATGCCTCGATGATGCTCCGAGCAGACCCATCTGGGTAGGCT